AAATGCACATCTTTTCTATGTAGCTGTCGAGAGGCACTTAAAACAAACTTCTGAAAGAATATGAGTGAGGAAAAAGAGTTTCTATTAAAAGTAGAGAGGAAGAGGAGGAGCTTATTTCATGGCAGCATAGTAAGCTACACCTGCAGTCTGACAGAAGACAGCAGTTTAATTGTCGAAGAAGATTAGTTGACGGCTCTGATTCTTTTTCGCTGTGACAATGAACATCTTAGTCTTGGTTGCAGTTACAATCTTCTCCAGTATGTATATTTAAGAGCTGCTTTTGCTGTTTTTATTTTTCTTGTTCTGGTTTGTTCGTTCATTTACGTGTTGCTCTTTTCTTGTTTTCCAGGTTTCTCGGTCTGTGTAAAAATTCAACAGCCTCCGTTTGTATTTAGCCATGGAAGAGAAACAACTGTAACGTTGCAGTGTGAACAGGATGACAATCTATATTTCAACATGTTCTGGTATAGACAAAGAAACAGTGAGAAAATAGAACTAGTGGCATATTCGCAGGGTAAAGATTCATCGACGATTGAGGCTCCTTTCAACAAAACCAAGTACACCATGTTAAGGCCTACAATTCTCAGCTCCTCTCTGCAGATAAACTCTGCTGAGGCTGGAGACTCAGCTGTGTATTACTGTGCCTCTAGTATGCACAGTGGTTCAGAAAGCCTCAGCAGCTTAACAACAACCTCAGGAACAAACCAGGAAGAGAACAGATGGAGGGGGATTTTGTATTTTTGTATGGATTTCATGAAGGACAGTATCACTATTTTTTTATGGGATTCATTTTTCAAGTAAAAGAGGCAAATATTAATAGGCTGTAGTTTTTCAGTTGTGATTTAAAAAATGATGTCCCTACTTTTAGAATTTATAATTGACATTTTTTACTATATTGTGACATTTGAGGCAGCTGTGGGCTCAGGAGGAAAATCATGTCGTCCTCTAATTAGACGTTCAATGGTTCTGTTTTTGCCTCGTTTAGTCCTCATGGCAAATTGTCCCCAAAGTGCTCCTTATGGCTTTGTCAGCAGCATGTGAATGAGATGCATGACTGAAAGAGCTGCATGTAAAAGCCCTGTGTGAATGTTAACTGTACTGTAACAAACACTGGTTTTTAAGAGTAGAAAATCATTAGTGAAATGCAGCCCATCAACATTTCAGAAGCCCAACAATATACAGATTAACCCAGAAAATATGAGATGCTTTTTGCTGCAATTGTGAAAATATCCATTAGTTAGTTCAACAAGCAAGTATCCCATCAACAATGTGACATTACTGCAGAACAGACCAGACCTGCTGCCCCACGGTTCAGTGCTGGATCAATTCAGATTAATGAGCAGGTGAAAACATGCTGGAGGAACAGGATCAAGTTCAAGAGAAGATCATACACTGACCTCTACAGGGTTCATGTGAGACTACAGTTGGGTGTGGTAGTAAAAAAATAAGTCAACAATGTACTTTATTGTGCAATACTGCTAAATCATGTAATGAGCCACAAAGTTGTGAAATTGTGTTGTATATATATGTAAATGCGTTGTATTGTACATACAAATATTTGCAAAAAGGAAAAGGGGACAAACTCCAGACTCATTTGACAAAAAGAGCATTGACATTGACAAAGATGTCATTC